GTCAAACGATTAATCGCATCCAATTTAAACGTTTTTCTTTACATAATATACGTGTGTGTATCGTTGTGTATATAAAATATTTAAAATACAGTAAAAATTATATTAAATCAAATATAAAATAAAATCTATGCAATTTTTATTAGAAATATTATTATTAGTTTATTGATATAATTAATAATATTGTTATTATAATTACTGATGATGTTTTATTTGACAGATGACAGGAGTGAACTGCACTGCTAAAAATCAAATAAATCACAACAAAAACTAGACAAAAAAAGCCTAAATGTAATTTGCTGATATCATTCTTAACACTGTTACAATCCCGCAACTATAAGACACGGCACAGACAGTGACTTACATTACCTAACATGTCTCAAGCCAAGTACGTGCATACACGCTAAGCCAGGGCTTAAGTAATGCGAGTGAGAGCGATCTCTCAGAACTCAAGTTACATATAAACACAACTCGCCAGCAAAGTCAGAGCGGACACACAAGTGGAATCTACTTCGGGCTGGACACACGGCACCAGAAGAGTAAAGGCTTGTCATGCAGGATCTACACACCGCACAACAACAGGAAACAGCCTGAACGCTGCGTTGCATCCCAATCTCCCTTTTGGGGGGGAAGTTCTAATGGCCTATAAATAAACAACCAGGCCACGCATTAATGAACGCTGGGGGTCAAGCGTGGAAGGACGCATGGGAACACCACCCACTGAATGGAGGATGGGGACGAGAGAAAGAGGAAATGAGAGCAGAGAGGAAGGGACTCACCTATGAGCAGGGTTTAGCGCTATCGCCCTGGGCTGGTCGAGATCTTGCCAGAAGAGCACCTTACGAGAGGTGCCGTCCAAGTTGGCCACTTCGATGCGGTTCGTCTCAGAGTCGGTCCAGTAGAGTTTGCGTCCGAGCCAGTCGCAGGCTAAGCCATCGGGAGAATCCAGACCTGATACCACCACCGTCTTCCCTCTGCCCAGTGTGGCCTCCTTCATAGCTGAAAAACAAGGCCTCCATTCAGTTCCACAACAGTATTATCAGTTTAGGCATTCCTCAAATGTTTTCATTCTGCCTCCATGATACAACATTTTGGCTGTTCTACAGTAGGACTGCTGCACACAAAATTAATTAATATTAAAGTCCTACATGACTGAAAAATTGTGCCAAACGGCATCTTGTAACCAATCACATGCATCGTTTGAATATGTGGAAGCACTGTGGTTATTTGCCAATATTATTTATATTGTTTTTTTTCATCAACATTAAATGTTTAACTGCTGATTTTGGATATTTAATTTTTTTCTATTTTCAGATCTAGCGCTAACTTTGGGGGTTATCAGAGATCCCACCACTTTTATTATTATTTTTAATTATTATTAGACATGCACTGCTATTCAAAAGTCTGAAGTCAGTACAAAAACAAATAATAAATTAATACTTTTGTTTAGCAAGGATGAACTAAATAACCAAAAGTGACAGTGACAGACTTTTATAATAATGTTACAAAATATATACAATTTAAATAAATCCTGTACTTTTACATTTTCTATTCATAAAAAAAATCCTGACTACAGAATCACAAAAATATATAGTAATGGCTGCTGTAAAATTCAGCTTTGCCATCACAGGAATAAATGTAACATTTTAAAATGTTTGAAAATGGAAAAGAGTGTGTAAAGAAATTCTTGTAATAGCTTTTTTGTAATATTATGTCACAATATTACTGTTTTTACTGTATTTTGATCAAATAAATGCAGCTTTGGTGAGCATAAGAGACTTTGGTAACACTTTAATGTAGGGACCAATTCTTACTATTAACTAGTTGCTTATTAGCATGCCTATTATTAACATATTGTCTGTTTATTGATACTTATAAAGCACATATTCTGCATGATCATATTCTACATCCCAATACCTAAACTTAACAACTACCTTATTAAGTATTATTAGGAGTTTACTGAGGCAAAAGCTGTAGTTAATGGTTTGTTAATAGTGAGAACTGGACCTTAAAATAAAGCATGGCCAAGACTTTTCTCATAAATATTTATTAGATTAAATATAATTATAAATATTATTAAATTAGGTATATTTAAAATATTAGATAAAACTATTCCTTTAAAAAAAATTGCCATCTACAGTAATTTCCTTGCAAGTAATTCCAAACCACAAAACACTGATCTTACAGATAGTAGAGAGGTTGTAGCGAGTCTGTTTGATGGCCTCTTCACTGACATCCGTCCAGAATATCAGGCCCTCCGAGAAGAGAAAGTCCACTGCGGCCGCATCCTCAAGATCGCTGACAACTACGGCGGACTCTGTCCGGCCCACCTCTGCATCCACCAGCCGGACGTCCCGCCGGTTGGCGAAGAGCAGCAAGGGAGAACCTAAAGGCAAAAGTCGGATATGACCAAAAATATGGGCAAGATCTCATTTCACTTGGTTAAATCATCCTTAAAAAATGAGGAACAGACAATAACATTTTCGTTACAAATTATGACTCTGCATTTCTGCTACCAAGGAATCTGCCATTTCAAAAAACGTGCTTCGTAATCCACTCCGTCTGTCTGCAGCAACCCAGGCTCCCTGTCTCTAAATAATCTGCGTTTTTCATGAACTCATCGTGCTAAATGAGAGGCACATGGGACGCTCTCTGGGAATGAATAGCAGAGGAAACAACGGAAATGTCTGCCCTTCATTTTGGCACCAAGACATCTCCACGGGGAACGCCAGTTGGCACCTCGCACCCGTCCGCATGTGCCAGCAAGTGCCACTCACGTCGCAGTCAATAACTTCCAGGGGGTGAGGGGGGAGAGGACATATGATGTCATTAGATGCAGACACAATGACTGTGGTGAGAGTGCTGAGGGTTGGGACGTCCTGCTGTGGTTTACCAGCATGTCACTTTACTAAGAACCATGTTACCATGTTAGATAAGCAACTGCGGGTTTCTGTTATTCTGGGTGATGCTATTAATAATAACAACATGTAAAACTCCTCATAGGTAAATATTATCCATAAAAAGCTTAGTGTGTCATATTTGGTAAGCAAATTTTGAAGGCCTCTAAATGATCAACATGATCAAAACTGTGCTGAAAACCCTGTTGTACACAATCTACTACACGCTTTCTGTCATCTGATTGAGAGTTTATCATTTCGTACCTTCATTCTAAAACTATTCTAAAATTGCATATTTTGCTCAGTTTGGGCCAACCATATTCTCCTAAATCACACTGAATGAGTCATAAAAGCTTGATGTATCAAAATAAACTGATTTTATTTCAAAGAAAGTGGTTAAAATCTCTTAGAAGTAGAAGTGAATGACATTTGAGCCATCCATTGCAAGTCTGCAGGATTTTTTCTCACCCATTTTATCAGATGTTATGTAAAAACTGTAAGTCTGATCATTTAGAAAAGTAAACAAACCACATGATTTCAGACATCATTCATGTCTGTAAGCACAAACTTTGCAGGATGAGTTACGCGCCAAAGCTTAATACCTGTGATTAGAGGTTTGCTTAGAGGCCAGCCTAAAGTATGAGCAAAAGTAACAGCAATTCTTGTCTTATTTTGAGATTTCGACGGTCCTAAAGTGGCATTTTCCATCACGTGATCGGAGTTTTCTGCCCAGGCCGGTATCCACTAAGCAAGCAGTCTTACGAGACTAAACAGTGAACGATATGTGATTTGGTGTTATCTGAAAGCAAACACCGCAGCAATTTTTGGCTTGAGGGTTATTTTATCAGCAACCACCAGGAAGGAAATCCAGCATGTAAGTGTCCTGTAAAGCTCTTCTGTGGAAAAAAAGGTGCTAGCGAATCACCACAGATCTCCTACATTTAAGAGTCATCACATTTAACTTTATGAATCACTGGCCAGCTGGGATAACATAACAAGGTCTTTTTTCAACTATAAATAAGACATTCATAGATTGAAAGAGCGGCACCAAACATTACAAATGAAGATGATTTAATAATTATTGTGACTGAAAAAAATTGACTGGATTCAAAAATAAATATAGTTTGTTTTATAGCCATACTATTAAAATTATTTAACTAATATTATCAAAAAAAGTTTACAAAAACAAACAAACAAAAAAGATAAGGCATCCTTAACCACTATTTTCTCCACATTATGCGAAAAAGTTAAAAAAAAATGTACAACACTAAAAACACATTAGGTCAGGATGAATTACTAAATGTGTTCATTTATTTAAAATCTATGAACATTTATTTAAAATATACTTAAAAAGTGTCAGACCTATTAAAGTAGCTTAAAAGGTTGAACCTAAATAAATTTGATGTTAGAAAATCAAACTTTTTTGAGCTAAAAAAGGGCAAAAACTTTGAAGGAACTGAAGGAAGAGGAGATTTATGCCAGATGCTTGGTAGCTAGTCACGTCATTTAAATATCAGTGGCTTCCTGCTAAGAACACACAGAGTTTTGGTCAAAATTTTACATACACTTTGCAGTACCTGCAAAATTTCACCAAAATAAGTGGAATCATACAAAATGCATGTTCTTTTTGATTTAGTACTGACCTGAATGAGATATTTCACATAAAAGATGTTTACATACAGTCCACAATTCAATTCAAGTTTATTTGTATAGCGCTTTTCACGATACAAATCGTTGCAAAGCAACTTTAAAGCAAATTAGGTTTCTAAAATATTTAGTAGTAGCTTATCAGTGGTGACTGTCAGTTAATAAACATATGGCAGAAATGTACGGAAAAATCAATTAAAAACGTAATCAAACAGACGATGAACACCATTAACAGCAATTATTATATGATGCAATCAAACTTATAGCAAAATGTGGTAGTTCTGTATGTTGTTTCAGGGTTGGCATCATCTGAGGTCCTCTGAGGGGTTGGAAAGAGAAATTCAAATAGTTGAATTTATAAAAGTTTACATATGCTTGATCCCTAATACTGTTTTTACCTGGATGATCCACAGCTTTTTTTTTTTGATAGTTGTTCATGAGTTCTTCAGCAAATCCTTCAGGTCCAACAAATTATTTGATTTTGAACCCTTTCCAACAATGACTATGATTTTGAGATCCATCTTTCCACACTGAGGACAACTGAGGGTCTCGTACGCAACTATTACAAAAAGTTCAAGCACTCACTGACGCTCCAGAAGGAAAAACCATGCATTAAGAGTCAGGGGTGTCAACTTTTTAACAGAATGGAAGTGTACATTTTTCTTATTTTGCCTAAATATCTTTTTTTTCTATTTAGTACTGCCCGTCAAAAGCTACAGAAGATACTTACATGTTTCCCAGAAGACAAAATTTCAATTTACCCTGATCTTCAAATTCAGAAAGCTAATGCATGGTTTTTCCTTCTGGAGCATCAGTGAACGTTTGAACCTTCTGTAATAGCTGCATATGAGTCCCTCAGTTATCCTCAGTGTGAAAAGATGGATCTCAAAATCATACAGTTATTATTGGAAAGGGTTCAAATACGCAGATGCTATAGTTTAACTGTTCAGGACCAGCAAGGGACTCATGAACAACTATCACAAAAAAAAGAGAAATCACAGGTAACAACACAGTATTAAGAATCAAGCTTATGTAAACTTTTGAACAGGGTAATTTTTTTTAATTCAACTACTATTTTCTCTTGTGGACTGTATTTAAACATCTTTTGTGTGAAATACCTTATTTCGGGCAGTACTAAATGCATTTTGTTCTCTCTTATTTCAGTAAAATAATTAACATTTTGCTGGTACTGCAAAAAGTGTATGTAAAATGTTGACCACAATATTTCCACATATAACACTCTGAGAAGTCAGATTTTATAGATACCTCTATCCTGGGTTATTTAAAACTATTTAAGAACATAATTTCAAAGACAAACAAAATTACCAAATGCAAAACCAAACTTCTGAACTCCACTTTTCCTACAGTTATCGCAAACTAAATGCCCAGCTATGACCCCAAGAAGTGTCTTGCAATTATTTGGCAAGTTTAAACACAACTTTAGCATGATTTACAGTTGTATACACTTCATCCAAACACAGCACTCTGTCTACTAAACAGTGACAGAGGCGTGAAGTACACACGCTGCGTAAGCAACAGACCCCACACATCAAACAATAATCGGTCGTCAGCTTGTTTCTTCAATCATTTTGTCCACCTCTTTCACTCTTTTCTTCCATTTTTCCGACTACAAAGACAGATGTACTCAAATCACTGTAAAAAGGAGACGCAGGTCTATTCTTTCTTCTTATCAGCTAGATTCTACAAGCCTATATTACACCGTTTGGTGGGACTATTGGCAATGTGCATGTCATTTAAGCGGCATAATTGCAGCATATGCTTCCATCTGCACAGAAAAGCCTTTGGAATGGTCCAGCAGAGCCTGGGAGGACTCTGATACCTCCTTCCCCGGCGAGCACAGAGCAGTGGGGATTAAAAAGATAACCTCGTCCCAACAGCTGCACTGTTTTATGAGAGAGACAGACCTCTGCGGCCCAAATGTGCAAGAAAAACCACCACCAGCATGATGCAGAAGAACCACAAACTGCCCCCCCCCCACCACAATCTCCCACCCAAATAGACAAGATTACTCATGGTTTTCTCTTTATCACTTTATGTTTGTTTGGAGATAAATAACATTCTTGATGTTCATTCTAGGTTTTTCAAATGTATTGTTCTGGGTCTTTTAAAAAAGATTAATAAGTTTCATGACATTCATTATAGACAAATCATATGATTTGGATGGATGGATGGATAGAAGGGGTGGAACAGTTCAACTTACTCACGGTTCGTTGTGTGCCGCCCGCGTCCGGTAGACAGGGTGTATTTAACTTTCTTATTTAGGATACTTTCTTGTTTAACTGTATTATTTCTTTAATATTTATTTTAGTGTTTTGCAGGCTGTGTGTTCACTGACGGAAGTGCTAAAATAAACACGCATGTTTGTTAATAGATGATTGAGCCTCATTTATTATTATTTGTGTAAGAGTTTGGTTCCAAAACGCTATAAATCCATTTTGATTAATAGTGAAGTGACATGTGGCCAAGTATGGTGACCCATACTCAGAATTAGTGCTCTGCATTTACCCATCCAAAGTGCACACACACAGCAGTGAACACACACAAACCGTGAACACACACCCGGAGCAGTGGGCAGCCATTTATGCTGTGGCACCCGGGGAGCAGTTGGGGGTTCGGTGCCTTGCTCAAGGGCACCTCAGTCATGGTATTGAAGGTGGAAGAGAGTGATGTACATTCACTCCCCCCACCTACAATCCCTGCCGGTACGAGACTCGAACCCACAACCTTTGGGTTATGAGTCCGACTCTCTAACCATTAGGCCACGATTTTGATTTTTAAAGATTTATTATAAAATGTTATTATTTTTTCCCAAAATGCAATA